CAGGATTTGACATTTCTCATGCCCCCATCCTCAAAGAAGTGTCTTCTAACAGAGGAATCAACAACCGATGCTATACTGCAGTGCGCCTTCTGTATTTGCCAGACAGCACCCATCTGTTTAAACCAGCAGCTGACAGGTACAGTCAAATCATTACAATGTACTTTTAAGGATATGTGTGCACATTTCACTCTTATCTGTAAAAAGCAAAAATAATGTTGAAGATGACTGTTATCATAATCTGTTTCTCTGCAGTGAGCTTGAGTCAAGGATTTCATCTCTTAACCTTTCCCATGTTGACTTGGTGAATACAGCCTGGAAGTTTGGAGGGAATAAGCAGGGTTACAGGAACATTGAAAACCTCATCAGCAACTTCCCATCATGCTGCATCACTGACGGCCAGGGTCAGCCGCTGTCCTGGATCCTGGTGTATGATTACTGTGCATTGGGCTTATTGTACACTCTGCCAGAGCACAGAGGGAAAGGCTACGGCAAAAGTCCTGGTCAGCGCCATGGCCAAGAGACTCCACTCTCAGGGCTATCCGGTGTACTGCTTCATAGAGGAGGAGAATGACACCTCCTACAAGCTCTTTAAAAATCTGGGTTTCATTGAGGAACCCTCTTACAGGGCGGCATGGTTGGAATTCAACTTTTGATGTTGTACTCATTGTGATCGAGTTTATAGCTGACATAATATCAGGTAAACATTGTTTTTCTCAGTGAATGAATATGGGAGCAAACTATTCATTTTACAAATGTTAAAGGCTCTCCAAAACAATGCATCAAAACCTGTTTGGTAATAATGGTTCCCCTAAATAAAGACATGTCATGCATACGTGTTATAGTCATGTTTTGTTAAAAAGTATGTTCTTCTTTGCACTACCTGCATCAAAGCTTCAGCAGCTTCCCACTGACAGATCACTCCAGAGGTTTTTTCAATACAATAAAACAAATATTCACACTTCTGAAACAAGCTTAAAACATCTTTGTTGTATCAGTCTAGTTATACTAGACAGATTTATTGGTGATGGTCTAAAAACATATTAAATAATACACTGGACATCAGTGCTATAAAACTAGCTTAGTAAATGTACACAAGTAGGCTACTGTACTTAACTACACATTTTGCTTATATTATATATTATATGCTATTGAATACTATAACTCAACATTTTCTAGCTACAACACTGAAGTCGGATATTAAACATTAACTCATAAATTGTATAAGGTGAAATTATGAAACAGTAATGTCAAACGAATAGCAATATAGGACGTAAGTAAAACAGATCTGTCACGTCCTGGTCACGTAACATGACCAAGATTTGTACTACCTTTTTTAGTCACGTGTCGAAAGTGCGATTCGGATATCCATTCTATGCTCGGAAGCCAACTTTAGCTTTGCTTTTTACTGGCACGCTCTACACACTTCCATGTGTTCTCGGTCTGTTTACTGCACTTCTGTACGGGTTCATTGATATTCCTGACTGGAAAGACTTTACCAGAAGTGAACATGGAACTGACCGGAGAGCAGCTGAAAATGGCTGAGAATCAGCTGAAAAGATATTTACCTCGGTCGCAACAGGTGTTTCCAGTCAGAACTACTGTTGAACATATCTGATAACATAGCCTATTGCAAGCCGATGATCACTGCCTATTATTCTTTTTTTGCTTGAACAAAACGTTGAATTTACCCACTCCCTTAATAACTGATCAAACAATTATTTAGATTACTAAGTAACCAACTTTTTATTTTAAAGGTGTATGGTTATTTGGTCCTCAGAAACAGAGTCAGATCAGACCCAGTGAGAGTTTTTGTGGATAGATGGCCAGAGTTCAATGTCATTGTCTGCAAACCTCAATATGAACAGGTAAGTAGGCTACTTACCATTGTATTAAATATATGTATCTGTATTTCTGCATACACTGCAATTCCTCACATCTCTATTTTCTTACAGAAGGGGGATCTATTCAAAGACATACCAGTTTTTGCAACTGATCAAGCTATTCTAGAGGACATCATAACGAAGTCCAACGTTCTGGACTGGACCCAGTTCATTTGCATTGGTAACACTTTTTTTGTTTTAATTAATAACACTGTAGCCATTCAGTGTCAGTCATTGCTCTTACAAAGTGGCGCTATAATCACTGAAAACAATCATAGCGTAAATGCACTGATCTTTGCAGTCCCGAAGGAATAATGCAGATTTTGCAATGTAATCTTCAAGGCTTTAATTGTATTGTCTTTTGTTTTTTTGTGTTCAAAGTTCTCAACAATTAAGGCATATCATGCCAGCAGTTAATGTCTTTCCAATACCACAGAAAGTGCAAAGCTCTGTAACATAGTCATTACAATACCTAAATGATTATCTAGCCAGATGGCCATAGAGCAAAGTGCTTGTAAAACAATCACAGGTAAAACAGAAAAGGGTTAGGGAGAAGCCATTTGATGAGATAGGGATTCATCTCATAGGGGTAGTGAAAACCTCTATTCCAACTAGATTCAGAAAAAACATATCTATTTTCTACTTCTATCAATAGAGCAACTTTGTGATGTCTTCAAAATATATCATATTCGGATCTTTAAACCTGTTTCAATAAATAAATGTCACTGTAACCAAAAGCAATACACAATTACTTTGTAACACATGTATTAAAGTATTTTATTGTCATATCTTATATCAAAAGGAATCAATCTTCGCCACATGGAGATACTCAAAGCAGTAGCATCAGAAAAAGGCGTGTCCAGCAGCCAACTGGCAGTGTGTCACATGATGATACTTAAGGATGTTTCCAACCTTCCCTCTATAGACAGGTAGAGCCTAACCATGATGTTCATCCAAATCATTATCTTACGTTTAATATTTCAACAGTAAAGAACGATGCTCTGAAAGTCCATCTGCTCTGTTCTGCATCAGCCCAGGGATTTCACTAAGCTATCTGGATGAGTCCCACGTTGGCTTGGTGAATCAGATGTGGAAGTTTGCGAAGAACAAGGAAGCTGTGAGGATGATCCGGAACATGCTCGCAAACTTCCCCTCCTGCTCTGTGCTGGACGCAGAAGGAAAGCCTGTGTCCTGGATCCTGACCTATGCCTCATGTGCAATGGGCATATTGTACACTCTGCCAGAGCACAGAGGGAAAGGATACGCCAATGTCCTGATCAGCACCATGGCCAAGAGACTACACGCTCAGGGCTACCCCGTGTACTGCTTCATAGAAGAGGAGAACGAGACTTCCTACAAGCTCTTTAAAAACCTAGGCTTCACTCAGGACCCTTCACACAGGGAGGCCTGGTTTGGATTCAATGATTGAATGAATGAACACCTCGAAGAAGACGAAGTTGACTAAAATGATTAAAGAACATACCAATTTTAGTCATTGGTCATCATTACATTGACAAATGTAACCCACCTACTGAATGGGACAATGTTATATTTTAGTTAAGGATCAGAGGCGCTATAATAAAAAGGACTTGCTTTAAGGAAATGCTCTCTCTTCACAAATCTCATCTCTTTTCCACAAAAGAACTTGAAGCCTGACTTGTACTGAAATGAGAAGAAAAACAATCTTAAAGTAATGTCAATTCTCAAATAAAAACATTTGTTTCAATTATTAGTTGTTTGTAAAATGTAAAATGTTAAATATAGAATGAAATTGCTACAACTGTAGCCAAAAGTCAAGTCTGAGACCTGGTTAATAACAGCATTATAAAACAGTATTAATGCATGTACCTCTGACTTATATCAATGATAAAAAATTAAAAAAAGTGGAAATTAGTTAAAATATTATTTTTTCTTAAACTGCTGCCTGCTTTACCTTTGTTCTGTGAAGTTTTCGAGACGAAGCAGCCAAGTTGTCCAGTACTTCAACATTAGCTCTGAGCTCAACTGATGAGCATGTGCAGGGGAGCCATCCTTATAGGCCACTACAATGAGACCATTTTCAACCTGCAATGAGAGGAGATCAGTTAGGTTGTTCTTTTGTGTGACACACTGTAGCTTACATCCAGTATTTAAAAAGACTAAATCTGTTCCTTAATATTCTATAATGTATCTTTCAAGTAAGTCATCTGACTTCAGGCTGACAGAGATACATAATCTGGGAAAAAAGCAGAGAAATCTAAATATCACATTGTTTATGTCAGTACCTGGTACTTGTAGTTGCCGTCACTGTTCAAAGCCCCGGCGTAGGCTGCCACCTGAATAGGATTGTCAAAAGTGTTGCTCAAGAATGGTTTGGGCTTCTCTGAAGTCTTCCAGTCAATAAGACATAGCACTCCCCTGCAGAAAAATACAGGCAGTCAAGCCAAGTGTTGAGTGGGAGAAAGAAATCTATCTCCTTGTGTGAATACAAATATCTACCTGTAGCGAGCAACACAATCCACAATCCCCAGATAGTTGAGCTCGGCATGTTGCACAGTGCTTTCAGTGGCTCTCACTGCACTCACATCTGCCAGAACATGGGAGATGCTCTCCATGTATCCCTGTACATCAGGTTGGTACTCTGCTTTCTCAGAGGATTCTTTGTCCATGCTTGTTGCATCTGATATCATTGAGTCCTCCACAGCTGAATGGAAAAGCTTCCCTTGCCTAAATAAATCTGATGAAATAAAACAACTTTAGTCACTTTTTACTCTTAACACATGTAAGTTACCATCCCACACACAATTTATGTTAGAAAACTTACTCTGACTGTACTCTTTGAAGCCTTCTTCTCCAAGTTGTGCGATCATCTTCCTCTTCCACCTCTCCAGGTAGAAGATCTGCTCTCGGGAAAGGGTCTGCTGAAGAATGCGTGTCACACTGGGTACCGGAGACCTGTATTTGCCCCGGTTCAACAAAATCCGGACTGGAGGTCCTGACTCTGCCTCCTCTGTTTCTACAGTCTCTTCGCAGTTTAAGAAGGGATGCAGATTTTTGGGTACCCTCACCTCTGGTCCCGAGGAGGGTTTTTGAGCTTTCACAACAGGTCCATAAATGTGCTCGTCCTCTTCTTGGAGGTTCTCTGGGGTTTGGGAACTAACCTTGGATGACATAACAGCCTTAACAAGAGAGGAGTATCGCTCACTGTCCACCAAGCTGTACGGGCTGTGTCTCTTTGGGGAACTTAGGCAATGACAAGCAGAGAAATTGCCCACAAAGAGGGAGGTGCATTGAGGGACCATGATGCTTCCAACGCACCCCACGCGTTTAAGAATGAACATTGTTACAACTTCCACACAACAAGCTTAGAGACAATAACCGATTAGACACTAACTATATAAACGTTCATTGGTTACCGTGTTTAAACAGTATTTTTAAGTTTTTTGCCTCCATGTTGGTCGCGGTACTTGCCCCGGCATGTTCCAGAGTAACTCCAAAGAAACACAATGGTTTCTGTACGACGCGCCTTTTCGGTTGCACCAACTTCCTGTTTTGAGGTGCAACGTCAGAGACTACATTTCCCAGAATTGAAGTGTGTATCTGAGCCGGTGGTACTGCTTTTTAATTATGTTCTCTTATTATGCATTTTACGCCTTACCGGTACTTCGCCTAATAATAACAACACAATAAAGTAGTGTTGCTGGAAATAAGTTGTCATAAAATAAAGTAACAAATGTTTGGGATGATTGATAACGTTGAGAACCAATCGTAGCATTTGTAAATTCGCCGTCGTCCAATCACTTCACTCGAAGGCGGGATTAAGTCTGACGTTGTCAAGTCGGGATGGAGGCGAAGAAAAAACGGTTTGACAGCTAACCAGTCAGCAGAGGGGGAGCTTCCTGCATATAGTTTTGTTTTTTGGGTTGTTGGCCTGTTCTTGCCTTTTCGTCGATTTCAGTACAATTATGACATCCACCATAGACGAAAGCAATAAGGAAAAGGTAAGTTAAATGGTTCTCGACATATAGCACATAAAGCCAACTCCGTTAGCATCAATGTAGCTAACGTTAATGGTTGCTTTCTGGCCGCTAACTTGTGTTGTTTTCTGTCTAACCTACATACCGCTAGCCTCAAGCTAAAACTAGCTAGTGTTTCATCGATTACACTATCAAGAAGTGGGTAACTTTAACCCCGTGGTGTCAAAATGCATACATGTTGGAACAAGTATCGTTTGCAAACATACTGAAAGTGAGGAAAATATGAAACGGTTTACACGTTTTTTTCACAACAACACAAGACGTAAAAGTGAAGAAAAGTAACGAAGCGTTAGCATGATTGGCATGTTGTTATCTTAATCTAGTGTTTTGACTAAATTAAAGGACTGTTTTGCAGAATCGTTCAGCACACTTGCCTGTGGTAGTTTAGTGGACTTGTGAGAAGTTATTAGCATTCTGACAGGTGCTGATTTTAATTTGTAGGTTTAGATTTTTTACTTGTGATCCAACTTTATGGTCGATCTGGAGGATGCAAAGTTAGTTTGTGGTGCAGTTGTGTTATGTTTCTAAAATGTTGTTCATTTCCTTGAAATTAACAAGGAAAGAATGACAAATAAACTATCTTAAATGACCACAAACTTGAATTGACACCTTAAAACAAAACTTCAACATAATATTATTTGTGATAGATACACCCTATAAATGAAAAACTGAGTAAAGAAAATATTGTTTATTCTTTATTCCACAATAAGATAAACAAGGGTGTGTGACCATGCCTTAAGCAAAAGCAGGACTGGATTCTGAACCTACTGTTAGATCAAAGGTCAGCTGCCTCCAGACCTTTTAAAACCACACCATGGAGGGAGATGGGCTTCTGGATCGCAACATTGTATCTGATAACAGAACATTCCTCTGGTAGCAGCTATTTGTATATTGTTAGGCCAGGAAAGACCCCAAACACTGAGGAATTGTGGTGTTGCATTACTAGCTAGGATGTTGGTGATACCATTAAAATGTTAATCATGAAAACCCTGACTGATAACTGGTATTATTGATCCAGTATTCAAAATGTAACCGTCCGAACCTGTGCTTGATTAGTGTTTCAGCTACACTTTTTACAGTTGAATGACATCAGTGTGTGTGTGGTGTTTACACAGAAGATCCGCTAGCTACACTGTCTTGGATAACCTTTGTTTATTCTTTCTCTATAGATGCGGTCTGTGTCGGTAGATCTAAATCATGATGCCTCTCTTCTCATCGACATTCCTGATGCACTCTGTGAAAGGGACAAAGTCAAGTTTACTGTCCATACAAAGGTGAAAAAACCAACACAACACTTTCAACCTTTTGAATATTCTATTTGGGTGTTTGCTGTAAGTTTGATAATAATTTTTTTTCGAAATGCAATTCAATTATTGTTTGTTTCCCCAGACCACCCTTAGCTCTTTCCAGAAGCCAGATTTCTCTGTTCCAAGGCAGCATGAAGACTTCATCTGGCTACATGACACTTTGGTTGAGACAGAGGACTATGCTGGTCTCATAGTAAGTTGGTCTACTTTCAGACATGACTAACAGAGATTGAAAGAGGCTGCAATATCACTATCTTTCTTTGGGCCTGTATAAAAGAAGGAGAAATAAAAAAATAGGCCCAAAGTGTTTGTGCTAAGAATCAAATTGTCATCCTTTTCAAATAATATGCGTGTGCTTAAATACCATATAACACATTGAGGCCATTTAACCTTTTAACTACAGTATCTTAATGATGTCATATTTTCTCTTGCTTTTCATAGATTCCTCCAGCACCCCCAAAGCCGGACTTTGAGAGCCCCAGAGAGAAAATGCATAAACTTGGGGAAGGTGAAGCCACTATGACTAAGGAGGAGTACTCTAAAATGAAGCAGGAGCTGGAGGCGTGAGTGTAACACTCAAAGAAAACACCACATGTATTATTTAAAAAGTGTCATGTTTGATACTTTACAAAAGTCTCTGAAAATACACAACAAAACATCTTCTTGCTGTCTTGGGTTTTCTTTTCAGTGAATACCTGGCTGTGTTCAAGAAAACTGTCCAAGTGCACGAAGTCTTCCTGCAGAGAGTGTCCTCCCACCCCATGTTGAGCAAAGACAGAAACTTCCAGATTTTCTTAGAGTATGACCAGGATGTAAGTTCCCCATAATGCTGACTTCCTTTCCTGAGTTGTCCGTTGGAAAAGAGGAAGCTGAGTTTACTGGACACATGTGACACATGGCTTCCATCCTGCTGTGATCAGCACTTATGCTTATCTATGAAGTCTTTGGCAGTCAGTGGCTGTGGTGTTTGTTAACAGAACTTAGCTAAGAGTTAAACACATCTATTTGTACATTAAAAACATGACTTCATACCCTTCTTAGTTCCCACAACATATCATACACTGATTTTTTTCTCATGGATTTGATATGATCAATCTCTTAATTCTGTCTTTTAAGCTTACTGTGAGAAGAAAGAATGCCAAGGAAATGTTTGGAGGATTCTTTAAAAATATGGTGAAGTCAGCTGATGAGGTCCTTATCTCAGGAATCAAGGTGAGGTGATGCGATATGTGCAAAAAAACTAAATCACAGCCGCAATGTTGTAGCTACTTCCCCATTCACCTTTGACTGTGCGTATTTGTGTCCTTAACAGGAAGTGGATGAATTTTTTGAGCAGGAGAAGACATTCCTGCTTGACTACTACAGCAAGATAAAGGATTCTACTGCCAAAGCAGAGAAAATGACCCGCTCGCACAAAAGTATAACTTTGACATTGGCACGATAATGTTAAGTCGAGTATAATTCACAAAGTTATATATTAAATTTGTTTAATTTTGATGGCTTTTTTGTTTGTTATTACAGACATTGCAGATGATTACATTCACATCTCTGCCACTCTGAACACTCTCGCTGCTGATGATAGCACAGCAAATAAAAAGTGAGTTTAATGTTCCATTCAAAGGTGAATGATGATGATGATGATGCCAACTTTATTAAATCACATTACTTGCTACGACGTAACTTCACACTTATGTTATGGCTTCACTTTTTTCTCAGGCACCTGGAGAAGTTGTCAGACCTGTTTGAAAAGCTCAGAGTAAGTAGACCTTCAATTACCAACACAGCCTTTGTAAATATTTGTCCTGATTTATACTTTCTATACATTGTGGCGGCTGCTATATGTCATTTTTTGTGTCGCTGCAGAAAGTAGAGGGAAGAGTAGCATCTGACGAGGAGCTGAAGCTCACAGAGCTGCTCAGATATTACATGAGAGATATCCAGGCGGCCAAGGTGAGACATATTTATCTTCTGCCTTTATTCAACATGCACAGATTCACAACATTTATCAAGTTCATTTATTGCTGCTTATCAAACGATTTGCAACCTAAGAAAAAAATACTAATCGAAATAACAAACACTCTTCTGGTCAACTACATTTTTTGTCCTGCACATCTTCCACAATCGGTTTTCTGCAAACATGAAATTAGATTTTATAGTAGTGGATATTTTACAAATGAATGCTAGTCCTCTCTGTCTTCATGTTTCTATTTCTCATGTTAAACTGTCTGGAACATGTCAGGACCTTCTGTACAGGCGAGCCCGGGCCTTAGTGGACTACGAGAACTCTAACAAGGCTTTGGATAAGGCTCGACTGAAGAGCAAGGACATTCCCCAGGCAGAGGAGCACCAGCAGCAATGTCTGCACAAATTCGACAAGCTCTCAGAGTCCGGGAAGAAAGGTTTGTGAATTGGTGCAGAAGAAACTCACACAAACAATACGTGCTGTGCAAGCTTTTGTTTTCAACTGGACACTGTTTTCCTCATAGAACTCACCAGTTTCAAGGGCAGGCGTGTCGTGGCCTTCAGGAAGAATCTCATAGAGATGGCTGAGCTGGAGATAAAACATGCCAAGGTGAGCGGCACATTAAACACAGATGTGTAAACTCTAACTACATTCCCATAGGCACATAACCACTGTGTTGATTATTGTCATCTAAATGTACTAATCAATCGCCATTACACAGCCATTAATTAAACTGACACACCTTCAGAAAATCCTCTGTTGTAATGTCTCAATCATCATACATAATTATAATTATTATCGATAACAAAATCAACAATATTTTTGAGAATGCAAACAGGTTTCTACTTTGTCAGCACTGGTTTTGTTCGGTTTCAACACATAGTGAAACATTAAAGTGGCAAAGTTGGTTTTTAAATCGTATTTAACGGCGCCAGTCTGCTTGCTTGAAATTCTAACCGTAGGACCATTCTGAAATTAGGTTTAACACACCGTGTCTTCTTTGGGAATTTCTTCACCCTTGAATCCTCTAAGTCAAGAGACACTCTTTATAAATCACCAACATAAAGGACTGTGAAATTAGAAAAGCTATTCAAATGTATTATCATTTTCACTTTGTTTGTTGTCCTTATCCCAGTAGTCTGTTCTGTGTAATGATGTTTATGTACTTTAGAACCGTCTTAAGGATTTCTGAAGTGTCAACAAACTTCGAAAGAATACCTCTTTCTTTTCAAAATCACCCAGCAAGCATAATCCATTTAATTACCTCAAAACTATGATACCAAGTTGTTCAGGGATTTATCAGTAAGATATGTTGTTTACAGTGCATTAGCTGGAAAACTTAAAGGTCCCATGTCATGCTTTTCCGGTTATTATACCCTTGTGTGTTATGTATCTTTTTCTGCATGTAAACGGTCTGCAGAGTCACTAACCCTCAAAGTACACCCTGTAGCGAGTAAAACTCGAACACAGAAAAGACCTGTCTATGCTGCCCCAGAACGCCTCGTTGGAGATTTCTCTTTTTCTTCCTGGTACTAAGTGACGTAACGACGACCCAAATGGACCCATTGGTCCAAATGGACCAATTCCTCACACACACACACATCTTTTCTAAGCTGCAGCTCCGGGATTTCTCAGCCTGAGACGGCGAGGCTGTGAGTCCGTGTGTGTGAGCACACACAAACTCACAGCCAGGCTGTGGGGGTGTGTGTGTGTGCTCGGGCTGGTTTCGGGCTGTGTCTCGCTGTCTCGCCGAGCCCACGCAGCAACCAGGAAACCACGCCAATAAGCCAGCTCACACTGTCCGCTCCTCACAGCAGCGAGCCTCTCAACGTCCCGCCAACACGGCACCCAGACCCCACGCAGCATTCTCATCTGTTTGTCATTACTGGTGTCATTTTCTGGATGCTAACAAACGCCATTGTAACACATAATCACTGATGTTCCGCTGTAACCGTGGTGGACTCATCAGAACAGAGTGGGCGAGCTGACCAATCAGAGCACACTGGGCTCATAGGGAGGGGGGGGCAGGAGCTCCAACAAGCCGTTTAGGACAGAGAGTGAATACACATACTATACAGAGATGCTGTATGAGAAACCAATGTGAGTTTGGAAAATTGCACAATATAAATCTATTCTAGTAGACCTCAACAATGGAATTATGATCAGTAGAAATGGCCATGTCATGGGACCTTTAAACACATGACTAACTGGGATACAAATGTGCTTTGATATGTTTTATTGCTTTCTTAGTACTGATACTGTTTCCCCCCTGTCTCCACAGAACAATGTGACTCTATTGCAGGGATGCATTGAACTGCTCAAGAGCAACTGATGAGTATTCAAGTTTTCCTGTCCTACCATCACTAAGTGACCAGTCATAGAAAATGGAAGCCTGGCGTCCCCAGGGCCTTGTATGGATGTGACTCCAAGCCCCATCTCTGCTCCCCACCACGGGTCTGATGCCACTTTAAACCCCTGCACGAGACCCAGTGTCTTGAAAGCAGAATGTCTTCATGTTTACAGAGTCCCTGTCCCCAGGTCAACGGTCCATCCTTTTCCATTATTTATGGAAGTCTAACTCAATGTGGCTTCCAACATTAAGGTTTTCTTTTCTTTGCAGTACCATTACATGTGATTATCCATCCCCTTATTTCTTGTTTTCTTACCTTTACATTATGCACATAGAAAGAAATTCCTTTTTGATCATATTTTTGCCTCTAAAAATTCTGATTAAGCCCTTCCCGCTCTCATTTACACGTTTAAATAGCCGCTTTTCTTTCATTAAAGGCGTAACGCATGTTTTTGAATAGCCATAATATGTTTTATTATTCATGCTTAATCTGTTGGGGCTTTTTTGTTTGCAAATGGAACAGTTTTACAAAAGTAAAACTAGTGCCTGCGCTCTTGTGTAAGAGTTAAACCAAACCAACTCTTCAGTAAAGACAAGCTGATGACTGACTTAAGATGAGCGGCCATCTACAAGTGGTCTAATATACCTGTACATCACCTCAGGAATGGACAGTTAGATTGTTGTCCCCATTTCTTTCTATGCAATAAGTGGCCATAGGTCCCACAGTTATCAAAGATAAACAGTATTTTTGCAAATATGGCTGAACCATAGGAGAGCAGAAGATGTCAAACAGTATCTAGCATTTTTATCAAAGCAAAATCAACACTGGTTCTGGCTCTAAACTTGCATTTTGGTTTTATTTGCACTAAGCATGCATGATACCCCCCAGCTACAGCTCACTTTTCCGTGTGTGCTTATTGTTGCTCTTTCTTTATTTTGCCCTAAATTCCACTTGGTTTTTGGTGGGGTCTCATTTATCAGACCTGATATATTTACCAGATCCTCTAAACATTTTGCTTGTTTAAAGCAGTTATAAAAAAGATGCACTAAGGAGATTGAAAAACACTTTACAATCATGACCGGGCTCAGTGGAGTGTTGAAATGCATTATAGTTTTCTAAGAAATTGAATGTATTTGTAATGGATTCCAACTGTGTGAACAGTTTCTTACAGAACATTAGCATTTTTATAAATTTGTAATAATGGCATTGAATAAATCTTACTTTCCCAAGATTGATCTGTGCCAGTCTGCATTTGTTTTTAAAAAGCGTATTTATAAGTTTGTTTTCTTTGTATTAAAGAGTGCCTTTTTATTCCACTAGGTGGTGTTATCTATCTGTTCACTGTGTTTCCACTCATGTGTGGGCCCTTGAATTTCCACCCAGCTGTAATGCATGCAGGTTTGTGTTAAATCCATTGACCATTGTGGATCCTGTGATTGGACTGTGGTGTATTGGGTAAGCTTTGAGGAAATGCTGGAGTGCTCATGGGAATCACCACCAGCAAAGTGTCCTACTTCATGAGTAGCACTAGGCAACATAGCCTGAACAAATAATCTGCTGAAAGACACAGCTCTTGTGATATAAATATCTTTATATATGATATGTATCTAAAGATATACAAGTTATAATGATCATGTGCATAGACAGAATATACTGTACTTGTCAATATTGACATGATCACTACTAGCAGTCACAGTGACCCATTTTGGTCGAGCCTCTGATGGAATAAAACAACACACTTGAGCCAATGAGATCACAACACATTATCAGTGCAAACAGGTTCGTTTGCCAACTGGGATCAGAGCAAACAGTGTTTGAAAGCATGGTATTAAAGAAGTATTGAGAGGGTGGATCCAAAAAACACGGCCTCCTTTGGAACATAAAGACGGATAAGTAGTATAAGACCCAGACATTATGTTGATGTAAGATGCCATTATTGGAACAGAGCTTATTTCACTTCACAGTATGAAATAGGCAGTTACTGATCTGAGCATATCAGCATGAAACAGAGTATCAGTGCTTTTACACTGCTGTAAAATGATGATAAGGAATTTCCTCAGTTCTAGCTCTAATCGCAGAAATAAAACTTCTGAGGCAATATAGCACTGTTTAAAATATGTGCTCGGGCGTAAAGGAACACATCTGCCTGCTTAAAAGACTCATTCTGCTGACTATGAATTCCCTTATCTCCCCTAGGCGCGATTAGATAATTTGCAGGCTCTAAAAGGATGATAAGAAGTACAATTTTGCTAGTTTTCGAAGCTTTTGGAGACATCATTTATTGACCATTTATAATTAATCCAGCTAAATCTTTATTATCCCAAACCTTTTAGAATACTCAGTCACACACACTTAGACAATCAGGCCAAAGCATCTGAGGATGCATGATGAAAAGCTATAATAAAAAGGACACATAAAATAAAATAAAAGTCATTTGTTCAGATGTACTTTTGAATGCTGTGTCATGTCATGACATTTTCTGAGTCAAGGATTGATGAACTTCTACTTCTGTTGAGTGAGCTTATGAAAGCACCTGCCTCAAAAGTAGACAAAAGCCTGAGAGCCGGACAGGAGGCATGAAGCATAAAGCCCTCCTTAAATAGAAACCGTGTCCTCTGAAGGGTCTTTCGTTTATTAAAGAACAAAAGTGCACCTGCAGCGCTTGCTGAGATAAGTGAACTGTTTGGACTTCCTTATCGAAAGAGAACAGGATGCTTCTTAATGGTTTGCACACAGAGAATGTGTGTTCTATGACAGGTTCAGGATTTAGCCATCTGCAGGGTGACACATGAGCAGCAGTTATGGGAACTTATTTAATTAAAACTTTGAGGATAATCCCTATCATTATTTCTGATTCTCAAATTGTCTCAAGGTAATTTTATGGAAAAGCTCAGTTTTCAAGCACTACATATCGTAGACAATCTGAAGGACAATTTATTCCTAAATAATGCAATCCTGTCATTAACCCAACACTAAAAGGCTTGAATGACCAAAGGCCAAATCTTTCCTAGGTTAGTGTGCCCTGCCCTGCTCAGGCAATCTATTGCCTTCATGCACACAATACAAACACATAGCAACACAACAAAATGATACATTCAAAGACAAGACAGGTATTTCCTCTGCATGGCAAATCATTATTCAACAGCATACCGTTTATTTATAGGCTGTTTGTCATCTTGATTATCACATTACACATACAAAAGAGCAAGACAAACCTTGGGCCAATCTCATAATGCTGAACTTTCTGCAGCTGGCACAATACTGAGTCAATGTGAGAACAGGGAGTGAAAATGCCACACACCCGTAAGACCAGTATGTACAGTCCAAGTTAACACGAGAAATGCAAAGTGATGTGCGTCAGATGTCAAACACTAGTTGTGAGTTTTAAGAAACCAGGGGCCAAATAAAGACTTATGTGGTATGAGGTTGTAAACTGGTCAGAAAGTTGCATGCGAGGTTACTGTTTTGTAAAAATGATTTGACCCATGCTTTTTTATCATAAGCAAACAAAATGTAACCTGTTCTATTTTGGTGCTCCTCAAAATGACATATTTGTGTGATGGAAGTCACATTGGAAGTTTTTTTTTGTAAGGCTCTTTACAAAAATCTGTGCGAAGATTTGAGTAACCCACTTAAAAGTATTTCACTAATGTTTCAGGATATGTTGTTTCAAGGATGCTTATGGACACCGTTTTCAATTGAGTGCTTCGGGTATTGACAGAAGAGCATAAGACAAAGACATACTTTGTTTATGCCCTAGGGGAAATTCAGTATTTATTTTTCCATTATGAGTGCAGAGGATCTTCACATCTCCTTCATCATACATACTTAATGATGTACAACAAAGGGACGCTTTCACAAAGTGCTAATGCATCATATTAATACAATTGATTTGGGCGTTCATATAAAAGAGGGTGCGGTAAACAAGTCACCAGTGCTAACAATGTTATCCTGCAACTCACAGGTGACATTTCCAACCCGTTAAGGCGTTGCTGATCATTTCTGGTAAACCTGTTGCCTTTTTTGGAAAGCTTACTTTAGAATGTGAAATACGTTTGATGCTCTGATCTGTATAGCAGTGGTAAAAACAAAAAGTAACTTGAAGTCCCATAATAGGAAATAGTTCATTAAAATACAATGACTACTTTGGGTAGTAAAATAGAAGTACTAATCAATAGTTGCAGACATACAGTGTTTTTATCAAACCCATACAAATCTATTTCAAATTCAATTACAATTCCAAACCTTCCAAAGACACCAAATGTGGCAGGCTGCATTTTAGGGATTTTTTTATAAAATGATGCACAAACTTGAATATTTCCATAGGATGGAATGTTTTCTCTCAGTGTGACCATCATAAAGCTTTAAAGTAGAGGTAGAACTGCTGATATATCTACATGAATAATTTCACATTCCTAATGTTTTTGGAAACAATAAAAGGCTACTGTTACTGAAACTGTTAAGTCTGACTGTGTACACGTAGACTGCAATCCGGAATGGAGTTCAAAACGCAGGGTTCTCTTTGAAAAGGTAAAAAGTAGTCTCTCAAAATAGCGAACATTACTAAAGGACAAGGTGAATAGCCTGCTTTAAACGATTTCCTTCAGCAAATTCCATGAGTAAAAGTATAGCCTTTTCTTTTCAAACTTAACTTTTGTTTCATTCAAAAAAGGACACGACTTCACAAGCCTTCTTATTACCACAAAGAATACAACTCCCAGCATGCTCATTTCCGGTTTGAGTGCCTCCTAGCCAATCAGAAGCCTCCTGAGTTTATGGCAGCTATCTGGGGCACAGGGCCAGCGCGTCTAGCCAGCTCGAAGTGCCACGACTTCACAGACCACGGATTCTCCAGCGGAGTGAGGGGGACAGCACTGGGAAAAAGCTAGTTAGCTAGATAAATAGGTTGCTTTGCAGAGTGGTCTCTTCACAAGTTACAACTTGAAGCGTTTTGCCCTCTCTCCATTCCCTTTGAAGCCAGCAGGCGTAGCTACATCTCCAGCGAGGTAACGTTGAGTGTGGGAGTCCTGGATTTCTTTTAATTCATTTTAGTCATCGTTAGTTAGCTTGGGAAGCTATCTGCTGCTAACTCCTGATGTAACTGCTGGTACAGAAAGACAGCCGGATAAAGTTATCTAACATCATTTAAGATTTTTTCCCTAATTAAGCATTTAGTTATCTATTTTATTGTAGCTTCTGGAGGGTAGTTTTGTTACGTAAACCGGCTCTTTATAACATAATGTGTAGCACGATAGCCAAGTTCATTGATTCCTAGTGTTAGCTACAATGCTAGCTTGCGAGTAAGGATGAATCATTTCATATAGAAGTATTTACAGCATAACACACATTGTATTCGTTGTAATGTAAGTTGGATGGACAACGAATAAGAGTTGCGTTTAGTTATACAAATCAGACTTCTTTCGGTTGTGTCCTCACTGTTGTAATGTTTGATGTTAAATACATTAATGTCTGTCAAATACTTTTGCTTTTGTATTTAAAGTACCGTATCGACTAACGTTTGGCGAATATTTCTCATCGTGAAGTATGTCTGCAACTAGTAATGACTGTCCTTGGAGGAAAGAAACTGTATGCATTAACAAATTTACTTCCACGACGTAATAAAATATTTTCTTTTTAGATGAAGACTATTGCATCTCTTATAGGTATTCCAATGCTCATGAATGAAATATAGATACTTTAGACTTAGAAGTTATGTAATGGTTATGCAAACTTAGTTTAATCTTATAGTCCTATCTTTAATGGACATGTAGTTGAAACTTCAGAAAGTCAGCCCAAGTCCTATTTCTCAGTTAATTCGAGATGCACTGACGTGTGTCATCATAAATAAGCAGGCAGTACAAACTCGCACTTACACTTCTTGCTTTTAAACCTGGCATCCAACGTGGACTCTCGACTGGGTTTCGATTACCCTGGAGTTGCTCAGCAGTTTCCCTTTACGAAGTCACACTGTTTGTTTGTTTTAAAATATTAAAGCTCCACAATGTCCCCTCTTAGCATTTTTATATTTCCTGATAGGATAACATTCCTTTCCATGATATAAACAAGGATATAACACACAGCGCTGCAGGAATAAATCAAATAATGAGTTTTAGTGTCCCTAAGATGCTATCTACTCTGAGCCAACTTTCCCCCCCTGCAGGCTGAACTTTCTGGTTTGTGCCACCCTCCAAGAGTCTTAAAGGGACGGCTAAAAGATCCTTGAGGGGATGTTTTTTTTCAGGGCAGGAAATTAACACTCACCATCAGCCAACTGCTGGACATTTTTGCAGTGTCTTGTAATGTACTTTTTGGCAGGAAACATTTTCACCGCTATGGTTGGAATAGAGTTCCCTATCTTAAGTTGTTTGGAAGTGTATGTAGTTGATTGATCTTTCACACGTGCACTCCAAACTAGCTCTGATTACTTCATCAAATATTAAAACATTTTTTACTTTTTACCTACACCTGATTCAGTAATCTTTCCATCCATTGTTCAATATAGTATCCATTTATTCTCGTTGTATAATGAGTCCAAAAACAATGGCGCTGTGTGCTGATGAGTAAGGTGACATTTTCATTTAGAAAACACTGTACTTTAGTTAATATTTTTCCACCTTGCAACAGCAGTGGTATAATATATTGTTTTGATGTGAAAACAATTCAAAACAGTTTCAAGCAAAACCAATTTGAGATAGACATTTGGACAATTTCTCCCATAGGATATTTTCAATTCTATGTTTTTAGGAAGTCTTAGCCTGGGGCTGATATTTAATTGTATTTACTTTTGGCGTAGTTGATTTTGGTGCAGTCAGTGCTCTGCTGTTTGTCACACAGGTTGCTGATAAGATTTGCTGGTCTGCATTATGTAGCCAGCCTCGGGGCATATATTTATGGTGGTAACAGTGACACCTTCAGGCGATTTTTCTCCAGACATTATAAATCACAATTCTGTCTCATTACCGGTCTGTTAATAAAGCTGCGTTTCAGTTTGCCATGGCACTGAGAAATGCTTTTTACGGTATCAGTTTTAGGAACAGCATCAGTTTATTTTGGAAAAATAATATTTCTATTTGTGTCCACTGTATTGACAAGTCTGCTTCTTTTCTTTTTTTGTAGGTCAACTGAAATTTCCAAATGGATATCTACGACCCCCAAACCCTTGGGATAATGGTGTTTGGTGGATTCATGGTGATCTCTGCACTTGGGATCGTTCTTGTTTCCACCTTCTCCATGAAGGAAACCTCCTATGAGGAGGCCCTGGCTAAACAACGCAGTGAGTCAGGTAAAATTCAGCCTACTCGCTCTGACAAAAAGAAGAAGGACAAAGTGGCCGAGAAGAAGGGCCGTGGAAAGAAGAAGGAAGAAAAGCCCAATGGAAAGATCCCAGAGCCTGAGATAATTGAAGAGGAAGTCATTGAGCCTGCTGATGCCCCAGTTGAAGCTGCTGCCCCAGTTGAAGCTGCTGAACCTGAACCTGTCCCTGCTGTTGAGGTTAAGCCCACTGCAGCCCCTGCCCCAGCAGAAGCCCCGCCGACACCTGCTGCCGAACCAACTCCTGCTATTTCTGAGCCCTCCCCTGCACCCTCACCGAAAGAGAAGAAGAAGAAGAAGGTGACGAAGGTCGGGCCAGCCTCTACCAAAACAGTCGTGGCTGCCCCCGCACCCGTCACATCCTCCGCAGCCCCTGTGTCTGCCCTGACTAAAGCGTCTGCCCCTGCGCCAGCCAAAGCTGCTGCAGCCCCAGCCAAGACTACACCTGCTCTGACCAAGACTACACCTGCTCTGACCAAGACTACACCTGCTCCGACCAAGACTGCACCTGCTCCGACCAAGACTGCACCTGCTCCGACCAAGACTGCACCTGCTCCGACCAAGACTGCACCTGCTCCGACCAAGACTGCCCCTGCTCCGACCAAGACTACCCCCGTGCTGGAAGCTGTCACTAAAGACGTCCCTGTAATGGCGGTGCCCCCAGTGGGATCTCAGCCAGCAAAAGGACAGAAGAAGGCCTCCAAGAAAAAGGCTGAGCCTGGTAAGCAGATTTTTTTCAGAGATATCCATTTATTATTTTGCAGCTATAACTGTATTTGATTTGAGAAAAAATCGAAATAGTATGCTGTAATTTCTATATTTTTCAAGCAGTTATTAAAGTATTCAAATATTAAAATCTACAGATACATTTCATGAGGGGAAGACAATAATACTCGCTCATTAGACCTAAGAGTCCTTTCTGAAGTGTGCATGGCCAAGACCCTAAAGGGCATCCCATGAACTGCAGTTTCTAGTCTGGCCACTATGCCAAAATCACAGCATGGCGTAACACTTAGGTGCGATCTTATTACACTGATTTATCAGTATTTTTGAATAAATAATCAAACTTTTTTAATCTAAAAGATGCCTGTCGTTTGGTCTCTGCTTAATCCGCTGTCAGGTGTGGTGGACTATTGTTGTGCTTGACGTAGTTAGGGGTCTACAGTTATCTGCAAACTTCACTTGCCCTTCTCTAATTATCAAGGATCAAAGACTCTGAACTCTTATCAATATGTTGTTAAAGTAAAACCATCATCGTCAAAATTAGCCCTCTCCTTGGAAGTGGAAACTGCTCGTCTAGACAGGAACTACACTAGCCATAACACTGGTGATAGTACTCGGACATGATGGTGGAGCGGGGGCACGTCTGCAATGTTTAGCCCTATTCACTCACAATATAAGGCAGTAATTCCCTGTCAGTACTGATGAACTTCTAGCTGTGTGCTTGTGGAGAGTAGTGCCAATGGAAGAAGTGGGTGATGTCTGGCACTCAGCTCTGGAGGGCATAGAGCCTGCCCGCCTGTCTAAACACCACTGCCCTGTTTGGTTAGCTAACAAAGGCTCTTAGTGCCCTGACAATGGTGGAAGGCAGCAGAGTACGGTTCTCTCTTGCCTGAGGGCTTGTCTCCGCCTGGTGCCACAGTGCTCCATCATTTTGCCTTTCCGACGCTGCCCGGAGCCCCAGACCCAAAGGAACAAGTTGCAACCTTGTACTTTTCCTCTTACAATGTTGTTGGAATTGATGGTTCACTGTAGCTTTCTGAGCTTTTTTTTTTGCTCCGTTTCCCCTCTTTAGTGGCAGTGATGGATTCCCCTGATGCTCCTCTGTACCTGCCCTACAAGGCCCTGGTTTCCACCATCAGCAGCATGGTGTTCAGCGAAGGAGAGGCCCACAGGCTCATCGAGATCCTGTCCGAGAAAGTTGGCATCATTCAAGACGCATGGCACACGGTATTGAACTCATCAAGAAAAAGACACATGTTAAACTAACTGGAGTGCAAAGGCTCACTGAATGCATATGAGACTTGTAGGGAGGCCCACTTAATGAATTTTTGCTGTTTATCTGTGTACGTTTTCAGGCCTCTCAGAAAGGTGACCCAGTGGCCATGCTGAAGAAGCAAGTCGAGGAGAGAGAGAAACAGCTGGCGGCAGAACAAGAGGATGCTACTGCATCAAAGAATCGTCTCAGAGAACTCACCAAGGTTAGACGTCTCTCAGAAAAATGTATGTGCATGTGGTGTCATATTATTTCTACATCCTTCTGTATCCATGTTGGCACCCCTATGAGACTCTCAGTACTCATCACACCATAAACCAAATTGTTACATGGATGAAAATCATGTAAGGCATTAAGTGTTGTTTTGCTTGAAGGTGTTAGTGGAATAAAAGTTAATGTAGTTGCCTACCTCTTTTGTCCTGAAGGTGGCACTAGAGGAAAGTTAACAGTGTGACTGAAATAAACAGGTCAAATACATAAGGAAGAACGCCAGCCTAGAGGCCGCAGGTCCATCCTAAGCTTCGCTGCAAGAATCTTTTTTTTTAAATGACTGATTTGTTCATGATTAGGAAAACTCACAATAGTCTCTCTCTCACATTACCAGGCTTTAGAGAAAATCAGCGGGCTGGATGCAGAATACCAAAGTCTATGTTTTTTGTTTTTTTTATGTTGCCCTGATTCCAGAGTTGAATCGAAAAATGTGTCGTTCTCTTGGCACTGGAGGAAAAACACAGATTTTGAAATGGCTTTTTTGCCCTTTGTCCATGGACTCTACAGTGAATCTGAATGTGCTCTCTGACCTTGGTGTCTGTTTTTCAGGAGCTGTCTGCTGAGAAGTCAAAGGTGGCCAGTGTGGAGACCAGGCTGAGTTCCCAGCTGAGTAAGAGGGAGCAGGAAATGATTGCTCTGCAGGCCCGCATGCAGGCCAGTTACCAGGACCATGTCGCGCAGACCCAGGACCTCAATGGAAAGGTCTGTCCTTATAAACAATATTACAGTTCAGATTCAGAATCTGGCTGCTAATTATAAATAGATTTTTTGTAAATTACTTCTCTTGACAAGGATGTAATTAGCTGTCCTAAATGACTGTTTTCCTAACTTTTTTTTTATAGATCGTCAGCCTGCAGGACCAGTTAGAAAAAGGCCCCAATGCCCAGCTGGTCCGTCTGCAGCAGGAGAACTCCATCCTGCGTGATGCCCTCAACCAAGCCACTAGTCAGGCCGAGAGCAAGTGAGTTTTCCCTGGAGCAGTTAATGAAAAGCAGTGATCCAAACTGACATGCATTTTACCTTACTAATCCTAATTAAAGTGACAATACAATTGAAAAAGTAGTCAAATCTGAACCTTTTTGTGAAGCCTCCTGACTCTTTCTGCCCCTGTCTCTGCTTGTGTGTCTCTGTCCGTTATTCTGTCCTCAGGCAAAATGCGGAGCTTGCCAAGCTGCGTCAGGAATGCACCAAGTTAACCAAGGACCTCGGAGAGAAGACGGGGAGTCTGCTTGCTGATGAGCACCTCAAGAAAGGGCTGGAGGCCAAGGTCTCCGCTACTGAGAAGCAGCTCTCCCTGATGCAGGTTGGCCTGGCCTTTGCTTACACCACATTAAATCTCATTATAAATTACACTGGTTGTGATCACGTTACCACATGGAAACAAATGTATTCATCTTTCTTTTCTCAATGTTGTTTCTGACAGTTAGTTACAGAGTCTCTTCAGAATTCAAGTTTAGACCTTTCCCACACACCCCCTAACCCTCTAATGTTATGGTACGTTGAATTGCCTTGTAATCACATAGCCGAGGGCTGGGCTGGAATGTAGCCATACAATAATGGTGCTGCAGGATAAGGCTCCTCTGCACCAGCTGGAATGTGAGCGAGTCTCAGCACCTCTCCAGCCCTCTGTAACAGGCTGTATAGTATTTACAACACATGACCCTCTTACAGAAGCACAACCCTGTCTTGCTTTATCTGTTCATTTGCTCTTCGTACATATACCATCAGCCTACGCAGTTACCCTCTGATGGAATGCTGTTTGTCTGAACTGTTACGGGTAATGTTGAGCAAGTCAGTCAGCACTTCCCGATAGTCAACTGTTCATTTGATTTAATCATTTACGAAACATGCGTCCTAACAGTTCTTCAAACATGTTACGCAATGGATCAGTCAATATACATTACACATGCTCCAGTGATGCAACGTGATCCTTTCACATTTCTTTCACTTTTTGCTCCCTTTATGAAATAGGTTACTGGTAATGTGAGCCTTCTGTTTTCAAAAACAAATCTGCTTAGAATGAATCTGACACAAAGGCACAGGCAGGCTAATTATCCCCCAATCCCCTTCAAAGACACTTTCTTCCAAACAAACTTTAAGGCTATCAAAATGTCTGTTTATTTAATTTCTTCTTACAAAACTTCTAACCGGAGCTTATTATGATTATGTCAATGGTGGATGTCCTGTGAGTATTCTCATATACTTTTTTCTGAATGTGTCGCCATATGATGTTTCAACAGAATAGTTCTGCAATTGAAAAATCACTCCTGCCAAAGCGGGATCATTTTGTGGACCTCTGCCGCCCCCTGCTGTTTAATCATGTCGATTAATGTTGTTGTCAGGCCAGCTATGCGGAAAAAGAGCAGGCGTCCCACAGGAGGATTGAAGAGGTGTGTGAGGAGCTCAGAGCAGCACAGGGGGCAAACAACAGCCTGCAGGCCACTTTGGACAATGCCCAGCAGGACAGCAGCTCATCATCAGGTCAGAATGGGGGGAAACCAAGTCTTAAAGGTCACCTATTATTCAAAATCCACTTTTTCGTGTCTTTTATACATAAATATTTGTCCCCTCTGTGAAAGTTTCAGGAACAAAGACCCCCCTCTCTTTTTGTCCTGATCCATTTATATAAAAACCTGTCTGAAAATGAGCTGATCAGATTTTGGCCACTTTGTGATGTCATAACGATTCTTTGGCTTGTGTATCCAGCTGTACAATAGCTGCCCACTGCTCCAACTGCCAGGATGGGTTAAATGCAGAGGCCACATTTCACTGTGTGCTGTGTGCTCTGCATGTGTGACCATTTAAAGAGGGTTTCATCCCTCAGATTCTATCTATCTATCTATCTATCTATCCATCTATCTATTAGCCGATAACAAACCAAGGTAACACCTTATCTCCTCCGAGAGCACCATTGTGTTATTTTTAACCAAATATCTCTCAGAGGGTCGTGGGGAGTGGCTCCTTATCTTCATCTAAAGTAACAGACAGAGAATCAGCCATTTTGAAACAGGGCTGAAACAGAGGGGTTTATGGGATGCTACAATGCACGATCTGTTGGGTATTTTGAGCCAAACACCTCAGAGATATGTTTTGTATATAACTGAGAACTATAATATATATTGATGAATAACAGCATAATAAGGACCTTTTAATGTTGACAAGACGATGGATTGGGGTTGGCTGCTTGTGAGTAAAATCAATGAGAACCAGTGGCATTATCACAGAATATAATACACAGGGTTTTGTCTTAACCAGTTAACAGGGGAGATGCGCCAGCTTACTTTTGGCATGCGCCCTCATTTCAAAATGCCAAGTGTTGTATTCATGGACGAGTGGCAGGCAGCAGGCTTACACTTAAACTTTAATTTCTGAATTAGAATGTTTCTTTTACATTCCTTTTTTTCTGAGGAAGTAAATAAACAGTTATTCTGGATTTATTTGTTGTTTGAGGTGCAATATATGACTCGGCAGCTTTAAAACATGAAGACACTATTATTTTCTGCTCCACTCTAATGCATTAATTTCGTCAAAAAGTGGGCGGGCCCTCATTTTGACTGGAAGTGACGTTGGCGCCCTCATACCATACTTTCTAGAAAACCCCTGTTAAACATAGACTACGTGCTGTCTATTGGTCCCTGCAGACTTCCAGGTGCGTATTGGGAGTTTGGAGACTGAGATCAGTGAGCGCTCCGCTCAGGTGGACGCCCTCACTGCCCAGCTAGAGGAGACACAGGCAGAGAAAAGCCAGCTTGTACAGCAGGTGGCCACCATCAACTCCCTGCTGGAGGCCAATCAGACCAAACAGGAGGAGGATAACAATCAGGTAGGACAAACTCTGCAAGTTAGAGAATGGCCTCACGCTTTTACCGCACAGCCACCCTTAACAATTTGTATTTGTCTGATTCGACAGGTGGATGCTGCAGAAGTGGAACAGCTCAAGCTCAGGTAAATGTTTTAGATGACTTGTTGACAAAAAGGCAACATTAGACCCAGAGCTTTTCCATGTATTGATTGAAATTCTATGCCATCTGTTCAGCCTTCAGGAGAGAGACAACCAGTTGAACACACTTCACGAAGAACTGAAGCAGCTGCAGATGAAGCAGGAAGCTGCTGTAAGTGTCGCAAACATCTGGTGTGAGATTTATTGCCAAATAGTATCACTTCTTGATTGAAAGAAACATACTTTGCTAATCACAAATAATCTGCTATTCTAACAGGAGAACACTATTGTGGATCTTGAGCAAAAAAATAAGAGGTATGGAACTTTTTGCTATCCATTTGTTTGATTTAAATGTTTTGGATCTTATCAATAGCTTATCCCAAATTGTGTCCTTTTTTTTTTAGTGATGACCTCGGCCTTATTACATCACTTCAGGAAGAACTTAAAAACCTCAAAGAAGAGATGGCGCAACCTAACAAAGCACCAGTAAGTCACTCTCAATGTCTTGCAGCATTCATCACCTTTCCTGCAGGACAAAAATAAGGACCCCTGACTCATTTAATGCATACTCTGTTTCAGCAGTCTGATAGCTCCCCAGAGCTGGAACAACTACAGAACAGGTATGAGTCTTAGAATATGTGAAGAGATCATTCTTACTTATTGTTAAGACTGTTGTAGATCTCCATATTGACTATTTTGTTTCTTTGGCTAGCCTGACTGAGAAGGAGGCCCTTGTCACTTCGCTACAAGAGGAGCTGAGAGAAGCGAGAGAGAAGACAACCAATGATGCAGTAAGACCGTCTGTGCACACTAGTGCTTATTAATTGAGACCGCTGTTCTCTCCATCACCCTCCTGATTATGTGATCCATTGTTTTAGCAGAGCGTTGCAGCAGAACTGACAGCTTTCCAAACGGAAACCAAAGGAACTCTCCAGACACTCTTCCCACATATACCCATAGAGACAGAGCAGGTAGGAACAGAAGATTTCACATGAGAAGTTGCTGAATGGTTTTAATTTCTAATGAATTATTCTGTAAAAATAATAGACATATTCATTATTTTTGTATTTTGTCTCCTCATATAGTCAAACTGGTTACAAGTATATACACAGAAAGCTCAGGAGGCACTCAGCCAGCAGAGCCAGGAGCCTCAGTCGAGCACAGAGCTGCCTGTAAGCTACCATTTTCTACTCTCAGCAAATACTGGTTAGAATAAGCTGTGCTGAAAAACATCTGAATGTGTTTTCTTTGTCTTAGGAGCTGCTTGAGAAACTGAAGGAGGCTGAGGAGAGCCATGGTGTCCTGCAGGCTGAATGTGAACAGTACAGGATCGTCCTGGGTGAAACTGTAAGTGATTGGGGAAACTGAGATGTGTTCCTAATGGGATATATTCAGGGTTCGTACGGGTGCTGGAAATCCTTGAAATTGTACGAGTTGTTTTCTAGGTTTGAAAAGTGCTTGCATTTTGGGAATGGTGCTTGAATTTGGGATAAAGTGCTTGAAATTGTAAATGCTTTACTTCGCTTTTTAGATTAAAAGAAAATAAAGAAGTCGGAGCGAGCTTAATTGCTTCGCTTTTACATAAAACAGCTCCGCTCCGGCCTTCCCGCGCTATGCGCGTGACCTGCAAGTGTTTTTGTTACGTGTGTGACCTGGGCATTTTGATGAGTGATAGATGACAGGAGGTTGCTGTTTCAACAAGCGTTGGCTAGCAGAAGACAAATACAAGCCACGGGTTAGACAAGGGTCAAGCCCACGAGTAGCCTCCTGCAAAAATAACGATGCGAGAGTCTGCGCTGACGAGCCACATGAAAGGTACGCCGTAGTAAAGCATTTTAGATTAGGCTAACGTTGCATGTTACGTTTGTTTAAGCTAACGTTAGCGAGCTGAATAGCGAACTCGATGAGGGATAATAATAATTGCAGGGGACAATCATTTCAGAGGAGCGTACCTATGTTATGTGCGTTACAGTCGCCATCCTGTGGTGTTCAGAGGATGAAGCACTCACTGTTGTAATTCAACCCACTCTCACAGCATTTCGTGTTAGGAAATATAATCTATTGATTCAACACAGTGATTTTAAAAGCAATATATTTCTACTGGTAGTATGTTTCGTGCCTAAACTAAATGTGACTTGCTCTATCGAAATCAGTCGTGTGTGTGTGTGTGTGTGTGTGTGTGTGTGTGTGTGTGTGTGTGTGTGTGTGTGTGTGTGTGTGTGTGTGTGTGTGTGTGTGTGTGTGTGTGTGTGTGTGTGTGTGTGTGTGTGTAAAAACACTCACAAGAAACACCGGCTGTTGTTATGCTTGCTGTGAAGCTGGTAAAGGTGCAGCTAGTTTGAATGACTTTGTATACTGCAGGGTAGCTTGTGAATTTACTCCAGGTTGAACTAAAGTCTGATTTAATACTTGATTATATTTCACATCATTCATCCAGATCTGTAAAGTAACTAAAGGTATTCAATACATGTAGTGGAGTCAAAGTACACCATTTAACTCTGACTAATGTTTACTGCAAACCTAAAAGTACCTCAAAAATAATAATTAATATTGAAAAGTTATTTGGCTGATTGTTTTATATTGGCTCAGCCAGGTTATATGGGATGCCCAGTCCACGTACAGATGGGTCACTCATTTTAAAATATTAAACTTTTCATTTTTCATCCTCATGTAGAATTCTATTATGAAACACACATTTGGTTGTTTATAGCATAAAGAACATCTGATTTAATGGGAGGTAGGGAAATTATCATTTGAGTGTAAGTATGTGTATATAAATATGTAATTTACAACAGCTGTAAGATGCTTGAAAATGCACCTTGAAAATGCTTGAAAAGTGCTTGAATTCGACTTTGGAAAAGGTGTAAGAACCCTGTATATTCATACAGCTCATTTATTCCTGTTCCCTTTGTCCTTCAGGAAAGAATGCTGAAACTTCTGCAGAATAGTGTGGAGGAAGGAGAGCTGGTATGGAGGTCAAAGATGGCTAACACGGAGGAGCAGCTCAGAGAGGTAAGTGATGATCCCTTCTTGAAATGACTGTGATTTGTTCATGATTAGGAAAACTCACAATAGTCTCTCTCTCACATTACCAGGCTTTAGAGAAAATCAGCGGGCTGGATGCAGAATACCAAAGTGTAGAACAGGTGAGGATTTTCTTTTTCCAACACTTCAAAATGTCCTCTTGATGTAAACTAATGAGATATGTGTGCTGCTATGTGTAAAACGTGACTTTGGTTCTTTTATGCAGTTGAAGGAGCAGATGATGCTTCTTGAAGCCCAGCTGGAGAAGCAGTCAGAAAACCAGACGACCTCAGAAGAGACGGAGCCGGTAATGAGAAGTTTAGATCTACAGCTCGACCATTAGGGACGATTTTCTTATTACTTGCATTATTAAATAGTGTTCTTGCAGATACAAAAAAAAAAAGCTGTTCGCAAAGTCACGTCTTTTCAATTTGTTTTTAATGTTATAAAAATGTCACAATCCACAGTCCTCTTTTGTTGTATTTCTTTATATCTTGATATTTATCTCTATACTACAACAACATTTAAGAGCATTTTCTACCCTTTTTTATTGATTGAATAATATGATTTAATATGTTTAATTATTAAAACTTATAAGGAGTTTTTATTAAAAATTAAAGTCTAGAAATGCATTTCCCATATTTTAAACTCTTGTAATGCATTTTTAAAACAAACCTGTCTGACACATGTTCATTTCTGTGCCGTGCTCTGTTATCAGCTGACACTGCAGCTGTCGGAGAGTCAGAAGCAGCTGGATGTGGCCCAGAAGGAGGCCCAGGCACACAAGGAGGAGCTCGCACAGGTGACTTTACTTAGCTAAGCTGCTTTCCTATCCTTCAGACCAATACTTTCCACAGTCGTATATGCCAGTCTCACTGAGATGACACATGGCAAGGAATTCCTGGAAATCCCTCAATTGATCTACAAGCTACAGCATCTTTGGCATGGAAATGTGTGGATGGGGTGGTTGTGTAACTAGTGGCGGCTTCATGTTTCAGGTCAGAGAGCAGCTGGGCGAGATCACGATGCGGGCTCAGCAAGAGCAGAATGGCCCATTTGAGGCTCAACCAAGTCAGGTCAGGGTGCAAAGGTCACAGTGCACCCTTCACTTCCGGTCAGAGAGTTCTGGACAGAAACTCTAAACACTTTTCCTATTTGTTTTGTAACCATTTTTTGTAGAGAATTTCCTAAAAGTAAACGTTGATTTCATTAAGATATTTTCTTTATGATCTGGTTTAACACTTGGTCCAACCCCCTGTCCTAAGTCAAGGATGTGGTCACGGTACACGTATACTCAGTGACGCGTCCTGACAAAGGGCTGCAGTTCCAGTCCGTCCAGAATTCCTCTGACATAGCTGCTGTTTATGCTAACCACTGTTTGCATTGACTCTAACCAATGCTTTTTTCTCACCTTTTTCAGCATGCTCACTTTTGTTTTCAGATATTTGTTGTTTGTATGATTCCTAACATCAACAGAAGATTTGTGCTAGCCTTCCGTCTGAAATAGTCTGAGGCCAACAACTCTGGACACACGACGAGCAGCGTGCGTGCGTGCGTGCGTGCGTGTGTGTGTGTGTGTGTGTGTGTGTGTGTGTGTCTTGCTGCTGCTTTTGCACAACAGTGTTTGCATACACCTGCATGCTTCAGCCTTTGTTGGCGAGTGTGTATTTATTATTTTCTTTTTTCTTCCATTAGTTCCAAAATAAGTTGAGTCAGACGACGGAGAAGTTGCAGGAGGAGGTGTCTCACAGACAGCAACTTTCAGAGGAGTTTGAGCAGGTATCAGCCATTGTACATGCTCTTTTCTTTGTTTTGATTTGTGTTGGTCTATTCACACCCGAGGGTGACTAATACATTCTGTGACTAACATGAATTTGTGTTATCATCCTCTAGGCTCAGAAGACTATAACAGACCTTCAGGCTCAGTTGGATCTTCTGAATGTTTCTGCTGAGTCACCAGAATCTGACACAGAAGATGTTGCACAGCTCACGGTGCGCTAACCAATAACACCTAGAAAATGTTTCACTCTGATAGATGCTTTGTGTATTTAAATACTGTTCACTTTCAGTACAATTCATCCAGAGCGGTCATTGATCAGAGCTTTATGTTTTTCTCAGCAGTAGGTCATAAATGTCTGTACAGCACTGATCCTCACTAATGTTAAAGAGCCTCAAGCTTTCAATATAAAAAAAAAAACATAATGAAAGACAATAATATGAATAAATATTTAACCAAGAATTTGAGCATAATTCAAAACATTGCTCATTCCTATTATATTGAATTTTTTACAATTGAGTTGTACAAGGCCGTTTTTTACTATGCACTATTTTTCCTAATGAATCTTATATTTCATAATGCCAAGTTTATTAGGAATAACTGTTATATAAAATCTAAATGACCGGCAATGAACTCTGAATGGAAGCATGGAAAAGTAACATTTCAGAAAAATGAACTGAGCTTTATAGTATTTTATGGTTACTGGAGTTTGGCTTTATTCTGCGTCTTATTAATTTTATATTAAACATCTTCATTTTGAGTCTCCTGTGTGCTTTGAAATAACGAATGGTACTGCTGTTGGAACAGGAGCGCCTGGAGAAAGAGAAAAAGCTGTCCAAAGACCTCGGCCAGGCAGCCACCAAGCTCCAGCAGCTTCTCAAGGCCACTCAGGAGCAGCTGACCAAAGAGAGAGAAACCGTGAGAACACTACAGGAGCACCTGGAAGACAAGGTGGAGACACCTGAAGTGGTAAGGCTACTCACACACAATTCTAAGCTCAAACTTTCTTAGCATGCTTGGCGATTTTGACACTATATTTCTGTTTTTCAAGGGAGAATACGTGGAGCTGAAGGAAGGAACTTCTGTCTGAAAAGGAAGTTCACTGCAGACACTACAAAAAAAACCTGCCAAATAAGCCTTATGATTACCATAGTTATGCATTCCAAAACTATTACTTTCTTGTACTGTAGTTGATTGCATTTGTTGCAACTGTAGGAATCAAGTGTTTGATATTATGAAAATTTCAAAGTAAGATTAGAGGAGATGATCCTGCTACGATCTTTATTGAAACCCACATTCGATCAAGAGATTCTGGCTATGTCAGAAGTTATTTATCCCTCTGCCTTATATTCCAGACATTTACCCATAGTTCAGTGTTAAAAAGGGAAACCGATTGTACGTCAAACGTACATCAACCTGTGCAATTACTTTGTATGTCTTTTCTATGTGGTTGAATGATGAGAACATTTTATGGTTCAATGTTTCATTCACTTTAGAGCCTGCTTTCTTCTTAACTGGCTGCCAATTACACACAATTTGTATGAATGAATAAACTACAATGTAGCTCTATTTCCCGTTCAGTGTCTGTGCAATGAGTGCAGGCAGTAGGCCTACGCAAAGTTAAAGTTGGTTATTGTGTGTTATATTTGGACAAAGCTTCAGATCTGGTGTGCATTGAACTGTTACATCTGCAAATACAGTAGCCTAGATCGCCCCATGATACTTAAAACAGACTGTCATTTTAAATTGTAAACAATCCTGCCAGGTTAAAAAAAGGCTGTAGCCTATCCGGAAGAGGTTGATAGGAAGTATGACAACGCAGCAACATCGCATCATACAGACACATGAAGGTCATAAACTAACCAGAGTAGCCCCAATCAATCTCTATAGGCCTATCCTTCAATAACAAGAATTACTTTTTTTTTTAAAGGCCGTTTTAAAAATGCGTCATTTCCTAAAGCTTACCGACAAGGAAGTATATAACTAGGTGGAGTTATGTTTGCGGGTCTCTTCAACAACCATGTATGGCTTTGTTTCTGCACAATGTTTTGTCATCCTCCCGCCCATCACACACAAGCGTAATTTTCGGACAAATATCAGGAAGATTTTTAATACGGAAACGAGCGTGTGTAAGGCGGATGTGGTGTTCGTCGACAGCGGGAACTACCTTCCTCAGGATGCCACTGCAAACAGGTTTCCCTCAATTTGGCTTGAATTTCAATAAACACCTAATTGAGACGACTCACGTTGGTTGATTTGCGGTACATTTCACTCGTTTAAACAAAATGCCAGTAGACCTAGAATATTTGAAACGGCTATTCCCGTGCTATGGCAATAGTTGGTGCAACAATAGACACAAGTACAAAAAGAAAACTGCTGAATAATTACCAGATAAACTCCCTAAAGTCGAAATGGTGGCCAAATGAACATTTGTTCACTTGTAAACAAAATTGTTCAACACAACGTGAATGGAATAGCTATTACCTTTATATTTTTGGAAGTAAAACCGTTTCCTTTCTCTTACATGACTTTATGATAAACATTAAGCCACAGCCTATAAACCGATTTAGAGAATCCTTTTGAAATACATCCAGGTGCTAAGACCAACTCCCAGCTACCTGCTAATTATAGCCTGATACTTACCTGCTTTAAGTGAGAGAAGAAATAATCACACCCATGTCAAATCGGTTGAATAGAGTTTATTTGACAAGACAGAGTCCAACAGCTGCTGCATTTTGACTTTGATAAACGCATGTAAATGGTACTTTTACAAAGTGTAACAGTCTAGAAAAAAACATCAAGTATAGAATGGTTATTTTAAAGGATGAATAAAATTACATCTCAACAAGACTGATTTCACAACCAAATTGGTGTGACAGGGCACATTTGTTTGTGGTACAGGAATCTAACCCCATCTGGAATCCAATCCTTCCCTTTTAGTTTTCTTGGACCAATTCAAAATACACATAATTTGGAAATGTTGCATTTATCTACTCAAATCCCTTCCAATGCACCTTGCCTGAAACGGGAAAGGTAGTTTGTTTAATGACCCTATGCTGCGTGGCCCTCAAGTTTTGATACTTTTTGTTTTAGGCGATCTGTGAAACAGTCAGTGTCCATATCTTCAATGTCATTCACCTCCAGAACATGCTTGACACCTGTTGAAGAAATAAGAGTAACTTAAAATAGAGGGAACACCATTCCACTAGAACTATGTTAAGTCAATTAAATGTGATAAAAACATTCAAGCAGAAAAAGAAAAAAGAAACCCAACTTACCCTGCGTAGTCTTCTGGATAGCAGATTTTGAGCTAGCATACTGCATTCTACCTTTGAGTACTGAAGTGCCAGGAGCCCTGAGGGGAAGAATAATTCCACATTAGTCTAGTGTCGCACCCAGGGGCGCCGTAAGGGGGTGAAAAGTTAGGACGATTCTAAGGGCCCGTGACTGACAGGGGCCCAAACAATTTTAGAACATTAAGAAAAAAATGTTTAAGTAACCAATGTGATTATCTTTTCATGGGGCCCAAAATCCCCTCACTTTAGGATTCTCACACACAATAATATAAATCCATAGAAAAAGCTCTCAAATACATGTGAGGATTTTACAAAGATAACATTGTTAGTCCTTCTCTACAGTGTACAGTTAGTTAGTTGAGGATGCAGATGGTTTATACATTTAAGCGTATTTAGGGCTTGAATGTATATAATGTGTATGTAAAGTACTAGGACCTACCACATCATAAAGACCAGTTCCTCTTTTTTAATGCCTTCCTTGGTTTCAAAGTGGCAGTCGTACAAGAAGTAGCGGCACTGATCAGCCAGCATCAGATTCTTGACGAACTTGTAGACATCTTCCACGTCTTCCAGATCTTTTTGCCGGTAGATTTTCTCCACTTTAATTTCCACATCGATATGAAGTACCACAATTCTTATCCGTTCCTTCTCGTCATCATCACTTTTCACTACTTTCATTGCATTGAAGATCTGCTTCACTTCGTCAGCGACTTTTACTCCAGACGCCTGTTTTGAGAAGACACAAAACATTAGATATTTAGCACAAAAAATATATACACGTGTTGTCACATTTGAAATGTATCCAATGTTTGACACATTTTAGGTTACAGAGATATCGTTAGACAAAAACAATCAATAAAATGCAGTTCAAATTGATACAGATGGGTAAGATGTTGTATTTTGAAAATGAGAACTACAAATCAAAGAGTAGATGTAAGTGGATGGATTTAATTTAGATTCAGTGACTGGCAAGTTCCGCACCAAATCTTATTTTAAAGATAAATGTTCATAGTCTTGTAAAATGATATTAAATTAAATAAAGACCACAGTATGATCACGTTAGTGAGATGTGGGTCTTGGCTCCTGTATGAGCAAACTTTGTTCTCTCATACTTTGAGACAGAAAGCAGAACTGAAGAAATTAAGAAACAGGAAGTTCTTCAAAACTAGGCTTTAGGGAGAATTGTTAACACTATTAATGCAATTTAATTTGCAAATATTCCATCAGCTTTCAGCAGTAGCATGCCATGGCTGTAACTTCCCTGTGAATTTTTAAAGGCCTTGGCTCTGTCACATTCCAGTCATTGTGGAACAAGTTAGCACAAGAAAGACCGCCCCAAGGGATTCTCTCTGAACAAGTTTGAAGCACGGACAAGGCTCCCTCCATTTTGGAGGCAAAACCACACCTTGAGCATGCACTTTCAAATTCCAAACTCTCTTTTCACTCAGCAAACTATTCACTCGTAGGAACATCAAATGAACATCTTACACTCTGTAGATATAATGACAACCAAGCTTCACTGGTGTTCAACGTTTTACATGCTGAAATTAGTGTGTTACTTCAAAGTTTCATCATCTCTACATGCATGTGCTTTGGGGCACACATAAGTTGTTAAATGCCACAGCACAAGGTAATCCTGCCATATTCTTTGTGAAAGGTACTCACCATTTTGCTTGTGATGTGTGAAGGAAACAGGCAACTGAGAAAAAATGGCAGCAGAAGTCAAAATGCTGAAGGGTCATAAGGAAGCAGAGCAGGTTGACTCATAGAGGAGGAGCTGGGCTGAAGACACCACCTCCAAAGTAGCCCATCCCCCTCTTCCCAGGTGTGCGAGACAGTTTCAGCTGCAACCTCAGCATTTGCATTTATTCACATTACATTTGATGCCTAAATCACATTAGATTTATGGGCTTCATTGTCCATCACAATTAAAAACATTTTAGTCACACTTTCCATCATCAGTTAGGTAGAGACAGAGGCCTTCCTTTTTAATGCAAAAACCAGGTGAGCTTGAGTCACTCACCGGTGGGCGCGGCACAACACCCTTATATGGAGAACAAACCTGTCCACATACTTAACTTATCTTCTGCTGAGATGCAGCTCAGTGGCCTTATAAGGTAAAAAACAAAGGATGAGTGCTCAAGTTAAGTCAAAGGATTTATCAATCTACCTTAGGAAAATTGAGACGTTACGCCTCCATGAGATTCCAATTGTCGTAATAGTGTTGATCTCCAACACTTAGATTTCCACTAAACACTGTAAATATTCAACAGATTTATATACTAACAACAATCTGGACAATATTAACTTCAAGTGTACATTTTAATTTGTCAACATAGTTCCTGATGTTTTTCATTTTCTGTAAAGAGTGGTGAGTCAGTGCAGTTTACATGATTCACAAAAAGTAACGCTGGTGCACATTTCTCTATAACATAATCCAATAATTTAAACTTTTGTTCTAAATAATTTAAATATCAGTCAAACATTTAAAAAATGAGGATTTTCCTAGCACTTTTGTAAACGAATCAATGTTGTTTGAAATGTGCAATGTAATGCTGTTGTCTGCCTCAAGACCATGCTTTTTTGTAGGCATTAAATAAAAATACTACAAATATCAATGAACAAAAAGAAAATTGTCTAGTCCATCTAGTTAAATTACTGCACTTTATTATTATCCATGGCACTCTAATGTTCTTCCTCATTTTTAGATGATGGATAGTCCAGAAACGTATTCAAAACTCTTCTTTTGAAACAGCATTCAATAGATACCAAACGCTTCCTCCACAGTGACTATTTTTAAATAGAGATACTCTGCTTCAGCATCACAGTGGCTTTGCTTCTCTTGTGGGGCTCAGTGGCTCACAGAGTCAGAGTCCCGCCCACATCCGGACTAGTGTCTGTTTCAAAAGCAGAGTGCATAAATGTCAGCACATGTCATAGCTTGCCTGCTTACATTCACACTACACGTTGCAAGCCTTGGAATCTGTGACTTGTTAAGAAAAACTGAAATATCCTGTATGTTAAATAGTTGAAAGCCTGTTAAGCAAAAGTATGATAGTTAGGTATATAAAGCCATCTTTTGGAAGCCTAAAGTTTTTATTTTTTATTTGTTTTATCATAATAACTAAGGTAAGGCCTGTATGCCAGTTCTAATGGTAGCGGGTAGTAAAAGGGGAAATAAAACCCTAAACCACACGGAGCAGGAAATGGCTGCTGCATAACTCTGTGTCAGTCGAAAACTTCATGCTGCTGCAAGCACATTGTCAATTTGGCCACAACCCTTTCAGTGACGTTGAAGCAGCAAACCTAAGTCTATGAGAACTCTGACATCTACTGGTAAATTACAAAACCTGAATTGTTCATCTGTTTTTGCTTTGTGTAACATGGGGTGTCTGAATCTCTCGTATGTTTGGGGATAACTAGTTTGAGGAAGGAAGAAATGTGAGGAGACGATTTGCATTTGCTAGCTCAACAGAGCCCAGATTTATTACCTCACCAGCAACAGTTAACCTGAGGTTGAGGTGTCCCCAATAAGTCAACTCAATCAGGATGGCTAACCTGCCGCTTCTTTGAACTTCACAAACACAATGTAGCAATTTGCACATATAACCCCTTTGGCCAAGCATGTAGATACTGCTCAGCCAAAAATCAACTGTGGTGGACACCTCCCTCAATAAAACCACAGCTACACATTACTCATAAGCAAGAACTAATACCCAGCATTACAATATTTTTGCAACCATCTCCTTTTCTTACTGAAGTGTATATGTTTGAAAGGCTTGAAAGCTCGCTAAACATGCAGATGTATTCAGTTTGTCAATACTGACATATTTGTTTGCCTAAAGCTATCATATATACGTCTAATTGGACAAGCATCTAATTTTGTTTTAGATTTATAGTGACTATTTTTCAAAAAAGATAAAGTGTACCATAACATAGATGGGTTTGCCTTTTTGGAGGATATTTAATGCAAATGAAACCATGTATGATTTCATTAAAATGAACCCTACAAATTGTTGAAGGGCCCCCGCCCACCTCATGGGCCCTAAGCCTGCACTGCCTGTTATTTACATCCTTTTATGGCTGTAGAATAACAAGAAATGTGGAAACAATTACAAGAAAAAAACACCAAAGTCTCATTAAGAATGTTAACGAATGAATAAAGTTACACCCGGATAAAACTATTTTTTAAAGCCAAAACAGTGGGCTTGGAACATTTGGAAGGGTACAATGACTTGATTTCGGAATTGTTGCTATTATCCCCTAACATTCCATCAAATGTGCCTGTTATGAAAAGTGGGAGGAGCAGTTTTGTTTAATTACCCCTCAAAGGGTGCCCCTCCATTTTGAGAACATTATGTTTAAGGCGTTCTGCGAAACTACCCGGCTCCATATCTTCAACGTCATGCATCTCGAAGATATGCTTGACACCTGTTGAAGAAAACATAGTTACTTAAAACAGATGAAACTCCATTCAACTTGAACTGTAAAGTCAAGCGTAATGAATGTGATAAAACATTGAACAAAACTTACCCTGCACAACCCTGCACATAGCACTTTTTGAGCTAGCATACTGCATTCTACTTTTCATAGGTCCATTATCAGGAGCCCTGAAGGGAAAAATAATCTTATCAAGTGTCCCACAGAGACTTTACTTCAAAACATTCAAACATAGGATAAGAGTAGACTTTAAATAGGATTTTACAAAGTCCTTCTCCTTCTAAATACAGAGTATTTAGGCTTCAATAAAAAACAAAGACCTACCACATCATAAAGATCAGTTCCTCTTTTCGACCTGACTCCTTGGTGTCAAAGTGGCAGTCATACAGGAAGTAGCGGGACTGGTCCGGCCGCATCAGATCCTTGATGAACTTGAAGACATTGTCCACGCCTTCCAGATCTTTCTCTCTGTAAATGTTCTCCACTTTAATTTCGCCATCAATCCAAAGTTGCACGATTCTTATACGTTCCTTCTCATCATCGTCGTTTTTGACTACTTTCATGACATTGAAGATCTGCTTCACCTCGTCAGCAACTTGTACTCCAGACGCCTGTTTTGAGAAAAACACAAAACATAATATATTTTGCACAACGAAAATAATAAACCTGTCACATTTAAAATGTATCCAATATACAAACATTTTAAGTTATAGACAGATCACAAGAGTAACACACAAAGTTACGATTTTCATCGTCATAACTACATTGTAGCAATGTATGCCTACGCATGACCAATAAAAGCCTTGAACCAAAGACAAATTTGAAGAAATGCCTCACGGTTGTATGCCTCCACCAACCAGCCATTTACAGTACATCGATGTCTGTCTAAAATGTGATCACTCTGTTCATATCTCCTAATAGACATTTCTGTGAAATTGTCATAATTATCATGGATTCTTGTGTTATGGCAAAAAAAACAATGCTTTGTGAGGACATATTGACACTTGACCAACAATAATACTTTTTTCATCCCTGGGACCAAGTGAACATTTGTGGCAAATTTGAAAACTGATTTAAGTTTACCCATTTGGATAAGATTTTGTGTGTTCAAAGCATCTGGTACTAACCTGTGAAACAACAGCTAAAGATACTTTGCTGATCAGAGATGGGGTTAACTGTGGTTCAATTTAAGTTAACTGTCAATGCAGGCCCTGCTGGCTCTGCTCCCCACGAAGCAGCCTCCCAGCAGTGGTGGAGATGAGGCAAGGGTACGAGTCGTTTTTCCTTTTTCTACCTCCCATTTAATTATAATTTTTTTTAAAACTTGCAAAACGTTTTGGGACCATTGCAAATCTCGGGTCAGCTCCACCCTCTCATTCTCTAAACCTAGGGCTGTCTGGGGATACAGAGACTCACCATCACCTCTGGAGGAACATCTGGTACTACAAGACAGGCCATACCAGGGCTAAATGGTTAACATGCTTATTTCCGTAGCTATCTCTGGAACCCAACCCATAGACGTCCTGGAAATAACGTCAACTCTGTAACCTCTTCACATTCTCTTGGGTTAGATATAATGCTTTAAACTACAATTCAGGCCAAATCTTACACATTAGCACACAAGCTGCTCCATGCTGGGACCCACCTCCCCTGTTGGACCATTTTGAGTCCCGGGTGGGAGAAGGAACTGACGTCTAAAAGTATAACGCCAAGTTAAACATTACAATCATATTATTTCGACACTGTAGCTAGCTATTCTATTGTCATTAGCAAAGTTAACATTAGCCCAACAACCCAATTAAAAAAAAATCTTATTTAATAATTCAAGTTTATGTTACCTAACTTTCTAAGTTACAGCTATGTCGAAATATTAAAGTTGGGTTTTATATAATAAAATATAATATGGGACATGTTAACATTCTTTATAATAAGGAATAATAAGAACAATAAAACAGACACGATTTTCCGTGATGAAGAAGCGTTCCCAGGATCTGAAGTATAGGTCATAGCCTGGTGCTCTGCACTGGGAAGCTATTCGACATGCAAATAAACCAGCTTTGAACTAACAACACGCCATGGGTCTTGCCATATTCTAGTCATTGTGAAATCATTTGGCACAAGACGACCAACAAGCAAGTTTTAAGCACGAACAAAGCACCACACCTTGAGCAATCCCAACCCAATAGGTTTCACAGAGAGCAGAGCTCTCTTTCTCATGAATGCCCTGATCACATTCATCCATCGATAACTTGAAGCTGCCCAGTATACTGATCCATTGGCCACTGAGCAGGGCAAGGGCTTTGCAAAAGGTAAATTCAATGGTGGTTATGAGAGAGAGGAAACTGCTGTTTTTCACTTTTCCAACCCTGGTCTTCAGCTTAGTCCTCTTTCATTTAGGCAACCGCTAAACTGTCTTTTTACCTAGCAAACCATTCCATCAAGAGAAACATCTGAAACAAATCTTACACTTGATATAACGACATATAGGCTAATACAGTTGTAGTGTAGTGTATGTAGTGTTAACATGAGAATTATCACTTCAATCATCTCTATTGCTTGTCCTGTGGGGCACAAATCTGCCAAGGAAGTTTAAATGATACAGCACTACACAATCCAGCCAAATCATTTGTAAACGCTACTCACCATGTTGCCTCTGTTGTGTAATGGAAATAAGCTGCAATAATCAAAATGTTGCAGGGTAATAAGTAATAAGAGCAGGATGACTCATAAAGGAGGAGCCAGGATGAATGAGCACACCTTTCAAACTATTTGTGTCACAAGGGTGTTTCATATCTTACCTGTTTGGCAAGAATGAACACAAAACTACGATTACAATTTGAGTGGAACAAAGTGCTCTCAGTTGTGGGTGGCATTTGGGTCCTTGTTTCACAATTACTGCAGTCGACACCTACAAATCACAATTATGTCACGATTTTAGTTTTGTCTGTCTAGTCATGGTTTTATTTTGAAATTCTGTTCTTCCTGTGTCTTGTCTTCCTTCCTGTGTTTGCCCTCCTGTGTCTGATTGTCTGATTGTATTCACCTATTGCCCTTGTGTTTATGCCTCCCCTAGAGTTTGTCCTGCTTCATGTGCTCCCCAGTTCGTTAGTGTGTATTTGTGTCATGTTTTTCTGTCATCTGCTTTTCAAAATAAAGCTCGCCTTTTGTTCCTTGACCTTTTTGTCCTTTTTTCAACTGCATTTGGGTCCTGATATTCCCCATTCCTGACAAATTAAACTTTGATAAAGTTCTGCTTCTTTTAACAACACAGCAACAACAGAGATAGTTATATTCCTGTTTCTTTGTATCCAATTCCAATATCCTGTTTTATTTTGAAAGTCTCTCCTGTTGTTTCAGTTCCTGCCCTTGTGTGTTTCCTGATGATCATCACCAAAGCTCTGCTCTCCTGCACCCAATATCCTGTAAGTTAGCCGATATGCCTACACAAATTGGACCTACTGTCTTTGCTCCTTGGTCAGTTTGTCTTTATTGCACTTTTGTTTGGAGTTGTGTGACCTACACTTGAATGTGTTTGCCTGTCTTTTGGAAAGGCCGTAAGCCATACTTAAGATCATTCTGTGGTTTCTGCTCCCTTCTCATCTTTATCTGTGTTTGGGAGTCGACTACTGCTCTTTTGGCCGTCTGTTTATCTTGAACTCACCTTTCTCACTTTTGTACTTTTCAACTGAGTAATCAGTGCACTTGCATCCATAGTTACGATCTATTCTGGGAAAATCCCACTTTCTGACACAAGTCAAATGTTTAGTGGTAACTAGTTTGATGAAAGAGGAGAGAATGTGCTTTGCTAGCTCAACAGAGCCCAGATGTATTACCTTGCCACTTGAATCAGGTTTTTCCAATATATGTTTTGTAGGCTACAACAAGCTTTTAATTTTGTTTGAGATTGCTTCCAACTATTTTTCAAAAATATTCAACTATACCTTGTTATGAAACTGGGGAATGGCGTTGTGTTTAACAATCTGCCAAAGGGTACCCTCCTATTTTGAGAACTTAATGTTTAAGGAGTCCTACAAACATTTGTTTGTAATACGTAAGCCCAACCAGCCAGATGTTTTTTTGATAGCATATATGTTATTTTAGCATGATTTTAAAAGCCTAACTACCAAAAACTGTTTTTGATGCAGTTTGTTTCTCGAGACTGTGACATGGGAATGTTTTATTTTTGCAAGTGCTTGCAAAGAACCTCTCAATCAAAGGGTGTCCTGCACTAAACTGTTTTATTGTAGAGATCACTACAGTATCTTCTTGATGTTTTCTATTCTATATTTCTATCACGCCTTCTACTTTCCCCTTTCTTTTGTATGTAGGCTACTCTTAATATTTAAATGTTTTCATCAAATAAAACGTATTCAACAACAAAATTCAATAACGTGCTTTAACCACTAGGCGGTGCGGGTTAAAAAGACAGTGGTATAGTTAATAAAACATGATAATATCAAACATAATATGACTATTAACTTTATTGTGAAATTAAAACAGAACGGTAAAGGAAAATACAGTTTCAGTCTCTCGATTTGAAGCTTATGCATTGTACCATGAACCTGTATAGACCTGTAACAGTCAACTGCATGAGGAGTTGGAAAGGTAGTTCAGTAAATATCTTTAAAAACTACAAAAANTATCTATCCATCTATCTATCCATCATCAAACAGCTCAATGAAATGGAATGGAACCACGGCAGACTTTCCAAAACTGGAATTGGACGGCTCCATTCCCCGGCTCCAGCAGCATACTACTTTGTTCTACTC